ATAATCAGCAACGACCCTTCCATCAAATTGTCGGAATTGTTTCGGATAAAATATAAATTCGATTACTTCTGGCATTGTTCTCTATTTCTTCGTTAAGTTTCTTCACAATTAGTAGAGGCATTCGGAAGATTATATTTATACGTGGTAGAGCCATGCTGCAGCTATATTATTAGTATAGTTGTAGCACGAATGGTCGGCTCGACCGGGGAAGGACCACGCTCTCACAGAACACCAGCGTAAAATAGCAGCTTAATGCTGCTGTCTTTCGTAGGGTGAGTGTAGAGAACCGGAGACCTAGTTTACTGGAAAAGAGATATTCTATCTTAGTCCTCACGGCTGACAATCATTTTAATTCGCAAACGAAGATAGAAGTAGATGTCTATCAACGACATCAACCACTTACCATCAGGTGGACTACTGTGTGCTCGTTTATCACCCTTATTCTATTAAAATTAGCCCAGACAGACAGACAATAATATTACAAATGGTTATTCATATCTTAGTGACACACAAACAACCCTCCGAGCTCGATAAGAGGCAGTTATTTTGATTTTACAGACAGAGACACTCAAATTCTATTTACATGTAAGTATGTGTAGAAGTCGATACAGCCTATATACATTCCGCTGTATTCCGTTCGTCATATATCGCTAAATTCTGTAAGGGTTTTGGAGTAAGTAGTCTGTTCCGGGCCCAATGCGTAAGACATAGATTTACCATTTTTAATTTTTATTCCTAGAAAATGTGCTTGGCGGTATCGGAAATATTGTACGAAAACATTTGCATTTAAGTATATGTATGGCGGTGTAAGAATATCCGTGGGTTTCGTAAGAGGTGACAGAGGAAAATTGAAACAGGTGGGGGGCAGCAACATCTTCCAAAAACAACTGAAACCAGTTAAAAACTGCGGTTGACAACCCGCTCGCCACGCGTGTCAACTATAGCAAAATCCTAGGCCTATGTTCACCAGTGGACTTTTATAGGCTGTATTGGATGGATGGATATTTCGAACGTATGTAAAACCCCGCCTACCGCACTAGATTAATATATGGGTTACTTAAATACAAAAATCACTATAAAAAAACATCACATTTCATAACTCAAAGGCTTATTTCAAGCTGAGCTGTTGCGTTCAGCCATTAAACTATCAGCTATACAAAACAAAACAATACCACTACCGTAAACTGTTAAAAAAATCATTTACTTTACATTTATTTTTAAATAACACAGTAATATAAATAAATAATATCCGAATAGAATAGCAAAATATACACCAGAGCCTACTCCTTTTTAAAAGGCCGGCAACGCATCTGCGATTCCCCTGATGTTGCAGTTGTTCATGGGCGGCGGTAGTCACTTACCATGAGGTGAGCCGCATGCTCGTTTACCCCTTATAAAAAAAAACCAAGTACAAGTTAAACATATGGCCACGTAGGACTACCAACCATACCATATTAAATCCGAATACTTTAATTCTAAAAAATACAACTATGCAGAATATATATGACCCATTATCGTTTCGTAGGCGTCGCAAGACGCGACAGATAGAAGACGATGCTCTCACAGAACCATCATGAATACAGCAATTCACAAGTCTACTGCTGAACACAAGACTCCCCCAAGGAATGCCACAAAGCACAAATACCAGCGTGAAATAGCAAGTAAATGCTGCTTTGCTTCGTATATCACAGAACCCCAGTAGCCAGTAGTCCCCAGGGATGACAACGCATCTGAATTTATATTTTTAATCGAGGTTAGATATTAGATGTCTAGGAGTCACAGTATCCACTTACCATTAGGTGGATTGGGTGCCCATTTGTCACCCGTATTTCATTAAAAAATCTCAAATTATTTGGACTATAATCAGTTCCTTTTTAGTGGCTTTATTGTCAATTAAATTATAATAGGTATAAACGGCGTGAAGTTATTTATCGACGCCGTTCAAAATAGTTTTACATACAAAATTATATACCTATAACACAAGAATCACGACATCGGAAATGCGAGCGTTAAGGTTCAACCGTATCGAGGTCGCAGTGGGACCAAGCGTAGGCCCGTAACGGTAAACTTCGACAGACAGCGCTAACTGAGTGACGTGGATGACCGTTCGTCTGGTCTGGTGCTGCTAATGAGTCGTGACCCAGAGAAACGTGGAAATTATGCGAAATAGATACGGATAACGTTTTTGAAACAGTGACTAATAATGTACAAGTTATTTGGTATTAGATTAATCACACGTAGACATTTATTTTTCATTTTTTATTATATATAAAATTATTTATTGTAAAATTAAAAGCTTGACACCATCGATGGCAGAAACGAATGTGTAGAAAGAACATGGCAGAACCTTAGGGATGGAATGGTAAGTGCAGCGGAAGAAGTGTGTGGAACAATAAAAAGGGGCAGTAGTAAAAGAAGAGATGCATGGTGGAATGATGAAGTGAAAGAAGCTGTAAAGAAGAAGAAGAAAGCATGGTTAGACTACTTGGCCTCTAGTAATGATAAGGATATGAGAGAGAAGATGAAAGAAAGATATAAGCTGCAGAAAGTTCACACGAAAGCATTGATTGAGGAAGTGCGTGAAAGGTGTAGAATGGAAGCGGATGAAAGGTTGTCGCACAACTTTAAGGAGAACTCCAAACTCTTCTGGAAAGAGGTTGGAAGGACCCGAAGTGGTGCGACGGCCTTAAGAATGAACAAAGTGCTTTCGAGAACTAATGACGTCCTCTCAGAAAAATCGGACGTCATGCAGCGATGGAGCGAATTTTATAGAGAAATGTATGCGTGTGATGATCTTAGTGAGGGATCCGGGGATGACGCCGTGACTGGCACGCCAGACCCGGACCTCGATGACACTGAGGTCATCAGTATGAAAGAGATTGAACGTGCGATTCGAAGTTTGAAATGTGGTAAGGCTGCGGGACTAGACAGAGTTACTGCTGAAATGGTCAAGTATGGTGGGCCTCGCGTCTGGGACAGCTTTCATCTGCTGTGCAATTTGTGCTGGCGGACGGGGGATGTCCCGGATGATTGGCGATCCGCAGTCATTGTGCCTTTATATAAAGGTAAAGGTTCACATTTTGACTGCGGGTGCTATCGGGCGATCAGCTTGACCAGTTTAGCAAGTAAAGTTTACTCGAAGGTTTTGACACGTAGAATGCAAGAGAAATCGGAAAGATTTCTATGGGAGGCACAATGCGGATTTAGACCTGGAAGAGGATGCACGGATCAAATGTTTTCTCTCCGTATGATCACGGAAAAGCTTCTGGCTGTTAACCAGAAGATTTTCTGTGCTTTTGTGGATCTTGAGAAAGCATTTGATAAGGTTGTAAGGAAGAAAATGTGGGAACTGTTGCCGGGGTATGGTGTGGATGGCCGATTGCTAAGGGCTGTGCAGTCTCTTTACTGTGACTGTAAAGCCTGTGTGCGGGTAGGGCATGACCTGTCACCCATGTTTAGCGTCCAAACGGGCGTAAAACAGGGTTGTGTCATGTCTTCCTGGCTGTTCATACTGTATCTCGACAGCTGTTTACAAAAGCTGAAAGATAGCTGTTTGGGTGTGAAATTGGGTGACATAAAAGTAAATTGTCTGCTGTATGCTGATGATGCAGTGCTTATTGCACCATCAGAGGCAGAACTGCAGGCATTAGTCACGTGTATGAAAGAGGAATGTGAAATTAAAGGTCTCCGTTTGAATGCTAATAAAACTAAGGTTCTGGTATTTGAAAGGGACGAAGAGAGAACGAAGTGTGAAATATGGGTAAATCAGGAATGTCTAGAACAGGTAAATGAAATTGTATACTTGGGGAGTGCTTTTAGCCGGGATGGAAGATGTGATTTAGATGTGGACAGGCGTGTCGCTGCCGGGAACAAAGTCAATGGTGCCCTGACTGCGTTAGTCAAAAGGCAAGGCGTAGCGAAGAGTGCACGCCTTGCAATACATAACGCAGTGTTGGTACCGACTTTGTTATATGGCAGCGAAACCTGGGTATGCCAGAAGAAGCATAAAAGTAAGTTGAATGCAGTGGAGATGCGATCTCTTCGTAAAATGTGCGGCGTTACTATGGCCGACCGAAAGCGAAACGAAGAGATTCGCAATATGGCAGGTTTGAAAGATGACCTTATCACAAAAATTGATAAGGGCGTGCTTCGGTGGTTTGGGCACGTTGAGCGAATGAGTGAAGACCGAATGGTGAAGAAAATATATAGCGCGAAAGTTAATATTAAAAGGTGTCGAGGTAGACCGAGACTAACTTTCGAAGACCATGTGAGCAAATTGCTCGAAGAGGGTAGGGTCAAGAGTACTCGGATACCTAGACGTGCATGTATGAAGAAGATAATGAATCTGAAAGAAGCGAAAGAGATATGTAAGGATCGTGACACTTGGCGATCTGTTCTCTCTGGCTACCCCGTCAGGGATTGTGCGTGAAGATAAGTAAGTAAGTAAGTATTTATTGTATAGATATAAAGAAAAAAGAGAAAAAAAAACATTATTCAACATTACAGCCCATCAAAGTAGTGGAATTTGATGGGCTGCAATGTTGAATAATGTTTTTTTTTTCTCTTTTTTCTTTAGCTAAGCATAGGCCTCCCCGTAGATTGCTTCATAAGGGGCATATTTTCCATAGTTGCCACGCAGGGCAGGCGGTTTGACTACCGCAATATTTTTTCACTACACTATTAAGAATAACTCAAAAACTATTGGTCTGACCTTGATCAAATTCCTATGGGACCACACGAGAAGTACCAACTTTCAAATAAAAAAAGAATCATCGAAATCGGTTCAACCAGTAAAAAGTTATGAGGTAACACACATAAAAAAAACATAAAGTCTAGTACTCAATACTGTCTCCTTTTTGGAAGTCGGCAGAAAATAAAGAGTGAGGCCCATATGCATTAAACTTTAAAAGTGTCTGTCATTCAGAACAATGCAAATACCACGTGTGCGAGCTTGCACGGTGGAGGATGATGGTTATGATGACGATGCAAGATATACATACCTGGAAGAACAGCACGAAGCACACCCACTGATAGTAGGTGTAATATTTTTTCTCCACTGTGCTGTCGTACTCGTTGGCCACGCCGGGGTGCGCCACTGCTTTGCCGACCTAGAAAATTAATTTTATTTAAAGAATGGCGTATAATAATTAGAAAATGGGATATATTTTAAGCATTAATTAAACTTGACCAAGCGGAAACGAGACTAAGCCTTCGAGTAAGGAATCTCAATCGAAGTGGAATCACTTTGACGGCTCCGTGTCGCAGTAACTTAGCAATGAGTTGCTGCGCTGGGGGCGCGGTTTCGAATCTCGCACGGAACAAGTATTTGTATGGCCTATAAATAATTGTTCCAGGTCTGGATGCTTGTCCTTGTACAATGTATGTTTGTAAACTAGTTCTAAGATACAGGAGAAAATCCTAGTGTGAGGATAACGTTTTTTAAAAAATTAAATTAAAAAAAAACTATTTATTTTTTCATTGATTCCTTACAGCCAATCAAAAATCAACGGTTGAACTTAAGCCTCCTCCATATATCTCATAGGATATATGTCATCTGATTGCCTCGTTGGGTTAAGTGGCGCGATTGCTGAGTATAAGGTCCCGGGTTCGAATCTCAGTTCGTGCCAATATTTGTTCACGTCCTAAATTCTCAAAGGTAGCTTAGCGTAAAGAAGTTGGCGATGTTTCAACCCCTCGCTTCGGAATGCACGTAAGGCAGTTAGTCCTGCGTCTGATCTCTCTCTGGTCGTGTCAAATAGCCGTTCTATCCGACTATACAAGTGAGGGAATAGAGAGTGCACCTGTTTTCGTTCACCGCCGTTACTGAAATTCGATCATGGCGGATGGGTAGACAAGCACAGTTGTTTTATTATTTTGATTTGTTATATACGTTGTAGAACTTATGCAATCATTTGAGGATGGTTTGATTGCAGAGTTTGACACCGCGACAATCACAATTCATCATTTAATTACACTTGGTAAACCCATACTGCAGCTGCATTTTATACGTAGTAGAGCCATTCGCCAGCTATATTTTATTGTTTTATAGAATAAAGATGACAAACGAGCACACAGTCCACCTGATGGTAAGTGGTTACTGTGGCCCATAGACATCTACATCTATCTTCGTTTGCGAATTAAAATGCAGATGCGTTGTCAGCCGTGAGGACTAAGATAGAATGCCTCTTTTCCAGGAAAAAAGGGTCTCCGGTTCTCTACACTCACCATACGAAACACAGCACCATTAAGCTGCTATTTTACGCTGGTATTCTGTGAGAGCGTGGTCCTCTTCCCCGGTCGAGCCGACCCATTCGTGCTACAACTATACTATTAATATAGCTGCAGCATAGCTCTACCACGTATAATTGCATATAATTATGGTTGTAACACGAATGGGTCGGCGCTACCGGGGTAGGGACCACGCTCTCACAGAATACGAGCGTAAAATAGCAGCTTAACATTGCTGTGTTACGTATGGTGAGTGTAGAGAACCGGAGACCCTTTTTACTGGAAACGAGACATTCCATCTTAGTCTTCAGGGGTGACAACGCATCTGCATTTTAATCCGGTAGGGTGTATACACGTTTGTCACCCCTATTCTATAAAAAAAAAATTGGCTCCAGCACGAATGGGTCGGCTGGACCGGAGGAGGACCATTCTCGCTCAGAATACCTACGTTAAATAACAGCATAAAAATGCTGTGTTTTGTATGGTGAGAAGCGAAAATTGTAGACGAAGGATTCTATCTTGGTCCTCAGAAAGATGTCGCTGTCTATAGGCCACAGCATTCACTTACCATAAGGTGGACCGTGTGCTAATTTATCACCCTCAGTTGTTTAAAAGAACATTTCAAAACTTAATAATAATTGTTGTATTCCTACAAATCATCTTAAGTTGGATTCAAATCAAGACCCGCACCTCGTTAATCACGTACACACTTCACAGACCACTAAACGCCGCGGTTAAAAGTATAATTCAAAAATAATGCAATATCCACCACCCTAACATATTTAACCTAGTACAATCAGTGGCGCGTACTTCATCACAAGTTTAATTGTCGCCTCTCATAAATGGCAAGACTGGAACCTAAAGGTCACAAGCGCCAGGCCTGCTGGCGACGTAATTACTGCTTGCCAGAGGCCGCCCACATGCCACGAACATGTGTTAATATTTCGCAGAATAAGGTGATGGTAAAATAATTACTAAATATGTAGAATTATTTTTAAATGGGAACTTATTAAACGAACGGAAAAACTAAACACTAGACGGTGGTAGAGCCATACTGCAGCTATATTAGTAGTATAGTTGTAGCACGAATGGGTCGGCTCGACCGGGTAAGGACCACGCTCTCATAGAATACCAACGTCAAATAGCAGCTTAACACTGCTGTGTTTGGCATGGTGAGTGTAGAGAACCGGAGACCCTTTTTACTGGAACAGACGCATTCCATATTTGTCCTCACAGGTGACGACACATCTGCATTTTTATTTGTAATCGAAGATAGATGTAGATGTCTACGGGGTACAGCAACCAATTACCACCAGATGGACTGTATTCTCGTTTGTCACCCTTATCCTATAAAAAAAGAAAGACAAATAACGACATTTGTGCTGTGTAGTGGCGGTTGTAATCTTACAACTTGGCGGCTCCGTGGCGCAGTGGATTAGCAATGACTCACAACGCTAGGGGCCGCGGGTTCGAATCCCGCACGGAACAAGTATTTGTATGGCCTACAAATAATTGTTCCGGTTTTGGATGTATCTTTGTGAAATTTATGTATGTAAACTACCCCAGGAGAAAATCCTAGTGTCGGGGTAACGTTTTATTTATAAAAAAGAAAAAAAGAAAGAAGTATCATTCCGTAAGTGTAGCAAGAGGCGACGGAAGGAAACTGAACCAGGAGATAGGCAGCAGCATCTTCCTGATACAGTTGAGTAAAAAAAAAAAGAACTGCGGTTACCAAGACGCCTTGCCAATCGTCACAACTATCAGTTGAATGAAAATAAAAAAAACTGCGGTTACGCTTGCCACGCGTGTCAACTATGGCAAATGTACCCCCTATGAGGCAATGTATGGGGAAACTTATGTTCAGCAGTGGACTTTTTACAGGCTGTAATGGCAATAACTATATGCTATAACACTGACTTGAGCAACATATTATTAAATTTTTGAAAAATTTAAAAAATAGCAAGTAATTATATCCATAAGGCGTATAACCATTTTAGGAGGGCGATAATAAATTATTATTTAAATACTTAGTGAGCGACAAGAAATACCTACTGAATGTGATTGACAGCAAGTTATGGTGCAGTTGCAGCAAGTGCATAAGTTCGCCGCCCTTGGGCCACATTTATACATATAATATATAAAATATTCAATGATTTCTTATATTTACGCGAACACTACACATTAAAATAAAACCTAGTTTTACGGATTTTATCGCGTATATTGACTTATTTTATATTACCGACGTTTCGAGCATTATACAGCACCCATGCAAGCATTCTTTTTTTTTAAGAAATACAAAATAAATGTTTTTTTTTTTAATTTAAATTAATAGCCGTTGATTTAATTTCTTTAACAAATGCACAGTATTTTTCACCTTGAATTAAAAAAAAAACTAAATACCAGCATGCAAAGGAAAGGGCCCCATCCCTTAAGAATACTCAACCCTTTAAAATCTTTTATGATTTTCGCGCATTACTCGCGAATAATCCATACTCAAGCCAGAATGGATACCCCTAAATTTCGAGTCCTTTCGATTTTAAATCCTTATGATTTAAGAGAGGGTTGAGATGAAACTTTTTAGGTATAAATACTATAGATACCTTTACAAAATAAAGTATACTAAATACCAGCATGCAAAGGAAAGGGCCCCATCCCTTAAGAATACTCAACCCTTTAAAATCTTTTATGATTTTCGCGCATTACTCGCGAATAATCCATACTCAAGCCAGAATGGATACCCCTAAATTTCGAGTCCTTTCGATTTTAAATCCTTATGATTTAAGAGAGGGTTGAGATGAAACTTTTTAGGTATAAATACTATAGATACCTTTACAAAATAAAGTATCCCTTTGGCCTGTGAAGAATCCAGAAAGCTACTTCACAAATACGGATATCTCTATTATTAAGCAACGTGTCACTTTGTTACATCATATGTAGGCGATTATCGTTACTACTGGATCGATTGGACGAAAAGACCAAATAATTATAGTTTCAAGGTCGGTAGTTTTGACTTATTAACTATTAAATATTTAATAAACATACACAGTGGCATTTTTTACGGGGCAAGTGTTCAGTGTCGTGCTTGAAACAAAAGATCTATAATAAATGTTCTCATAGTAAAAACTAACGTAGAGCACAATAACAATTCATAATCTCAGCTTCACTGCGGTTAAATCAAACATATGTTGTTTTATTCATAAGTCAAAATGCATCAAATGTAATGAATCACATGAATTCTCATAACAAACCTTTTTGTATGAATAATATTTTATATGATTAAAATTGTTTACGCAAATATTATAAAAAGGACTTTCCGAGGGACGTGGCTGTAACGAACAATGGCGGGAAATTGAACTAAATATGACAAAATTCCGCAGATAATAGGATGCACTACTAGCAGCAGGTTCACAGATTGCGGTTAGCCGAAATGTTTTTCTTATACAGTTTCCAATTGCGTATGCAAGCATAAGGATGTATTCTTATCAAACTGAATGACGAAATGTAATGTGTCAAAAACATAGTCCATTGTGTGTTAACCCAATATATCATACGTATATTTTTTAACGTGTACTTACGGCTAAACTGAAACCGAATCAAATATACCGTAACCGTGTGTGCACTGCGTCGTCCTGTACCCTCCTCCCGACGTCCATAAACGCAGCTGTGGGCAGTTTTTTTTTTATATAATAAGGGTTACAAGCGAGTACACAGATCACCTGATGGTAAGTGGACATTGTGGCCTATAGACATCTATCCTCGATTAAGAATCAAAATGCTTCTCTATTAAGAATAAAAATGCATATGCGTTGTCACCCCTAAGGACTATCAAATGCCTCGTTACCAGTAAAAAAGGGTCTCCCGTTCTCTACACTCACCATAC